TCTGCTGCAATAACAGTTGAGTAGTTGCAACAGATACTATACGGCCTGCAAACCCTAAGATATGTACCTTCTGGCACGTTACAGAAAAAGTTTGCTGGTTCCCATTTAGAGTGAAATGACTTAGGGGTTAGTAAATATACCAGTAAATGAATTCAGCTTTGGAAAATCAATGGGTATCACTGATAAACCTAATTGAAACAGTGAGCCTTATAACTTTATATGAAGGGTCAATTTCTTTTCTTCTTCTATGTTTATTCTGAAAGGTGGGAGCTGTTGCCCAGCCCTCTGGAGTTCATTTCAGTCCAGCTGCTACTTTATTTCTACTGTGGAGCAATCTTGGACTGAGAGGCAGAAGACTCGCCCTACAATGGGAGCTCATCTGATGGTGATCACCACTTAAGGATGAGCAGGTCCTTTCTGATAGGCAAGGTGGTCAGCAAGCCTTCGTTCCTCTCTTAGCTGAGTTTTTTTATTGCCCTGAAATTTGGAGATTGAGAGAAAAGACTTCTGGTTAAAAAAAAAAAAAAAAAGAAATAAAAAAAGGAAAGTAGGAAGGGAGGAAGAAAGATGTTCCTAATCTAGCACATTCAATAGCTATTTTAAGAAAACAAACTCTGGAACAAAATTCAGGAAAATAAAATAGTGAATTGGAGAGATGAATGGAAAATGAGAATAATTGTTATCTAAGAAAGTCATGCTAATTAGATATATTAGACTTTTATAATGCCTCTTTCACGTCTTACCTTCTTTTCAATGTTTTCTCTTTTTATCTCTCTGTATTTGATTTTGAATAGTTTCCTCTGTCCTTTCAATTCACAAATCCTTTCTTCAGCTGTCTCTGTTCTGCTATTAAACCCCCACATTGGGTTCTGATTTCAGTTATTGTATTTTTGAAATCTAGAATTTCTTTTTGTTTCTCCTTCAAATACGCTATGTCAAATTTTATGATGGTCAATTCTATGCGCAAGCTTCTATTTTATCTCCTCAAACATAGGAAGCATAGTTGTTTTATAATCTGTTTCAAATGATACTCATGGGCATATTTATCTTTTATTGTGTGCTGGACATTATATCTGAAAAATTGTTTATAAAAATAATTGGAGGCCTAAGGTACTGTTTTCTTCCAGAGAATATTTTCATTTGCTTCTGCCTCATGCCTTGGCACAAGAAGTCCAGTGTTATATTAATGCAATTTCAGGGTTTGAAATGTCTATACCATCCAGATGATTCAAAACCAGATTGAATTTATGTGAGGTCTGATTTACTGCCTATTCACACTAACTTGTTTCTGGGCCCTGGACTCTAACTTTATCCCCCAACCCCCACCCTACAAAGTTGTCAAAGTGCTGTTCATTCTGTCTCTCCCACTATATGGTAAACTTAAATTGTTTCTTTCACTTTCTTATACCACACCCAGTACAGAGTCTAAACACTCAATAAACTGCATAAACGTGTAGTGAATACATGAACAAATGCATGAATATTGTGGAAAAGGAGGTAAGCACACACAAGACACCAGTGTCTCATATAGGTTCATGTACGTTCAAAATAATCAAAAAGCTAAGTCAAAAATATCTGTTGTTGTTTGTATAACATTACTTGTCTTTCTAAAATTCAATTCTAGATCTCTTCCTTTCCTATAACACAGTATAATAAACTAGTTAAGAGTACTGGCCATAGAGTGAGTTAGATCTCTGTCATTTATGAGTCGTGTGACCTTTGACAACCTTCTTACCTTCCTAAGTTTGTTTCCTCATTTGTAAATTGGGGATAGCAACAGTAGCTTCCTCACAGAAATGTTGTAAGATTTAGGTAAAATAACTTATGTAAGCTCATGGCACAATACTTGGCACATAGTAGACATTCAATAAATAATTGCAACTATGATTATTATTATTATAAACATCTTACTTTTAAAATGACTTGTATAGGGCTGGCCCCGTGGCTTAGCGGTTAAGTGCACATGCTCCGCTGCTGGTGGCCCGGGTTTGGATCCCAGGTGTGCACCGACGCACTGCTTCTCTGGCCATGCTGAGGCCGCGTCCCACATACAGCAACTAGAAGGATGTGCAGCTATGACATACAACTATCTACTGGGGCTTTGGGGGAAAAATTAAAAATTAAAAAAAAAAAAAATTTAAAATGACTTGTATAGTGACAGATAAAAACTAGATTATTGATGGTGAGCATGATGTAGTCTATACAGAAACTGACAGACAATAATGTACACCTGAAATTACACAGTTATAAACCATTATGACCTCAATAATATAACTGAAAAAATAAATTAAGTAAAATAAAATGATTTGTAATCATTAACATTTGGACTGTGCCATACAAAATTTAAAAATAAGTTTAAACTTTAGCATTCTGGAAAAAAAAAAGTGCTGTTCAACCCTTTAACTGCCTCTTCCCTAGAGCAAAAGTTGCCATAAATTCCAAACTCATCTCTCTGTATTTCCATTTCTTTTTTTTTTTTGCTGAGGAAGATTCACCCTGAGCTAACATCTGTTGTCAATCTTCCTCTTTTTTTTTTTTCCTCCCCAGAGCCCCAGTGCAGGGTTGTATATCCTAGTTGTAAGTTGTTCTAGGTCTTCTATGTGAGTCCCCACCACAGCACGGCAACTGATAGATGGGTGGTGTGGTGCCGTGCCCAGGAACTGAATCTGGGCTGCCAAAGCAGTGAGCGCCAAACTTTAACCACTAGGCTATCAGGGCTGGATCTGAACTCCATTTCACTTATTTCAAAATATCTAACATAATGCAATGCTGTATCATGTATACCAAAGTCACATACATAAACCTTGCTTATGGAGTCTCAACTACTGAGACATAAATGTGAAATGGTTTTTTTTTTGTTCCAATAGCTGCTACCACTGGGCTCTGTGAAACTTTCTTACAGAGTTACAGGGGTTTCATTAATGAAATGTTAGTCCAATCCATGATATTTGAGTCTCCTTCAGTTATAAAAACACTTTCATCTCAGTTATTAAATTTAAACATTAAAAATATAAAACCTTATATATAACTAAAGGAAAATAGGGGGTGGGGGAATTGGATGAAGGTGGTCAAAAGGTACAAACTTCCAGTTATAAGATAAATAAGTACTGGGGATGTAATGTACAGCATGGTGACTACAGTTAACACTGCTGTATGGTATTTTTGAAAGTTGCTAAGAGAGTAGACCTTAAAAGTTCTCATCACAAGGAAAAAAATATTTTTTTACTTTTTTTTTTGTATCTATGAGATGATGGATGTTAACTAAACTAATTGGGGTAATCATTTTGCAGTACATGTAAGTAAAGTTATTATGCTGTATACCTTGAACTCATGCAATGCTGTATGCAAATTATATCTAAACAAAACTGAAAGAAAAAAATAACTAAAGGAAAATAATGTGTTTTTTTAATTGAGGTCACATTGGTTTATAACATTACATAAATTTCAGGTGTACATCATATTTTGACTTCTGTATAGACTACATCACATTCAAGTTGCCATCTGACACTGTACACGTGTCCTAAAAGAAAATAATTTGTAATAAAGTATATGTTCAGCATGTAAATTGTTCATTTTAAATTTTGAATGAGATTCAGAACTGTTCCACTCTGGTGAAAGTCAAGGGTTGTTTCGGATTCTCAGCACTGACCGGCCATCAGTTTCCTCTGTGTGGCAACGATCTAAAACTCATGGGGTTGCATTTATTGGACTTTAGAGAGCTCAGCGGGAGCCTCCTCCCCACCCAGTCCTTTCTGCCCAGTCACAGAGATTGAGCTAAGGCTCAAACTTTTACTTATTCATCCCCACAACCATTTGCTCTTGAGTACTTCTCACCCAGTTCCTTTTGGGGGGACAGTCATGGGTAGCTACTGGCAAGACGGCTTGGGTTCCAGCCACTTTCCTTGCCTCACCAAATGGTGGGAATGCAAACTATCTCCAGACACTCTGTCTATGTTATCCTGCACCCGTCTCACTCCTTTCTCACTAATCAGTAGCATCAGGCCTGGGTCATCAGATTCTCCACTGGTTCAATGGCTCAGCAATTAGACTAGAGATGATTACCAGCTTCCAGTTTATTTGAGGACACGAAAGACACTCCTGATGCTACTGTAGGGAGGAAGGAGTCATATTAAATGCCCCCCACCCCTTTCTCCACAATAAGATACAGTGGCTAGGACTCTGTTAAATCTGCATTCCCCAAGTGTATTCTCCTATCCTATCTCTAGCCTCCTTTGACAGAGGATGCTGTTCTTGTATCCCTTCTTATGAAACGGTGCCCCTCAGCAAACTCTGCAGGGAGGAAACAGAGGCGGAGTTTCTCTGGAACCAAAATGTGGCTATGGGTCCTGGGAACCAGGGAACAGGAGAGATCTCTGTAGCACTCCACACCAGCAAGTTACACACAACATTTCTTCAAAAGTTATTTATTACTAGACTCCCACCATTTTGAAAAAATGGATCTTTTTCTCTTTTCATGCTGTATTAGCTTCAACAGACTACGAAGACTCGTCCATAGAGGTCATTTCACCCGCTGCTCTGCTTGGCGGCCAGTCTCTTGTCTCTCTCTTCAGCGACGGTGAGGCGGATTCCCTTTCCACTGGGGAGGGAAATCCACGGTTTGTTGCCCTTGCCGATAACGAAAATGTTGGAGAGCCGGGTGGCAAAGCTGTTGCCGTTGGCATCTTTCACGTGAACCACATCAAAAGAACCGGGGTATCTCTCGCTGTTGGTGATCACACCAACTCTTCCCAGGTTAGCACCTCCGGTCACCATACACAGGTTCCCAGGGTCAAACTTGATGAAATCGGTAATCTTGCCAGTCTCCAGATCCACCTGGACGGTGTCGTTGACCTTGATGAGAGGATCTGGGTAGCGGATGGTGCGAGCGTCGTGGGTCACCAGATGAGGGATTCCTTTTGCGCCCACAAAGATCTTTCTCACTTTGCACAACTTGTACTTGGCCTCCTCAGGTGTGATACGATGAACAGCAAAGCGGCCCTTGGTGTCGTAGATCAGGCGGAAGTTCTCCCCGGTCTTGTCGATGCTGATGACGTCCATAAACCCGGCGGGGTAGGTCACATCGGTGCGGACCTTGCCGTCAATCTTAACGAGCCGCTGCGCGCAGATCTTCTTTACTTCGTCTCCCGTCAGGGCGTACTTCAGCCTGTTCCTCAGGAAAATGATCACGGGGAGACACTCTCTCAGCTTGTGGGGGCCGGTGGATGAACGAGGAGCAAACGTTCCGGTCAGTTTATCCAGCATCCAGTGCTTTGGAGCTGCCACACGCTTCAGATGCTTCTTGGGCCCACGAGCCATGGCTGCGCTAGGAACGAAGAGGACCGTCTTCTTCCGGTGCGCCGGGAAAAGGGCGTCGCAGGCTGCGCGCGCCGGAGCCTCGGACGTTCCGCCCAGCTCCCGGAAAAAGGGATCTTCAGATAACTTACCACAAATCAAGACAGTGTGGTACAGCATAAGAACAGACATATAGATCAATTGTTGGGTATGCAAATTATATTTCAATAAAGCTGTTACCAAGGAAATATTTGCAAGATGGCAAGAAGATATAGAGAAAATAGAGAACACCTGAATGGATAAGAAAAGACTTAGAAGCTGAATTTTACGGGAACCAGTTGTGGGAGCCAGTCTCCAAGATGGCCCCAAGGATCCCTGAGCTCCTGGTGTCTATGCCTTTGTGCGATTCCCTCCCACACGGAACAGGGCTGACCTGTGTCATCAATACTGCAATATTATGTAAATGACAGTATGTGACTTCTGAGGCTACATTATAAAAAGACATTGTGGATTCTACTCTGTTCTCTATTGGATTGCTTGCTCTGGGGTAAGCCAACCACGACTTTCTAAGGATATTCAAGCAACCTAAGGGGGGGCCAGTCCCGTGGCTTAGCGGTTAAGTGCACGCACTCTGCTGCTGCCCACCCTGGGTTCGAATCCTGGGCACGCACCCAGGCACCACTTTGGCCATGCTGAGGCGGTGTCCCACATACAGCAACTAGAAGGATGTGTAACTATGACATACAACTATCTACTAGGGCTTTGAGGGGGAAAAATAAATAGGGGCTTTGGGGAAAAAATAAATAAATACATAAAATTATTAAAAAACAAAACAAAACAAAAAAGCAACCTAAGGGAAGGCCAGGTGGGAAGGAACTGAGACCTAGCCAGCAGGAAACTGTCAGGCATGTGAGTGAGCTTCAGGCATGTGAGTGAGCTACCTTGGAAGCAGATTCTCCAGCCCCAACCAAGTGTTCAGATGGCTGCAGCCCTGGCTGATTTGTTGGCTGCTACCCCGAGACCCTAAGCCAGAACCACGAAGCTAAGCTGCTCGTAAATCCTAAGCCACAGATATTGTGAGTTAAGAAATGTTATTGGAAACTAACACACGGACAGAGAGAACAGTTTGGTGGTTACCAGGGCAAAGGGGGTTGGGAGATGGGCACAGAGGGTGAAGGGACGCACCTATATGGTGACTGACAGTAATGTACAACTAAAAGTTCACAATGTTATAAACTATTATGACATCAATTAAAAAAAGCATTCCATTGCATAAGACCAATAAAACATAAAAAAATGTTATTGGTATTTTAAACTGTTACATTTTGGGACAATCTTTTATGCAGTAACAGATAACTAATACACTGGTCATTAGGTTAAATGATCTTTAAAGCAACTGGCATTCACAAATTGACCAAAAGCCAGGTTAGGAAAAGAACCTGAAATAGAAAGCTGAGAGCATGTGCTAATCTATGACTCATTTGGGAAAATGGAATAATAAAAAACTCATGCTAGACACTGTACTGAATGCCTTACGTGAGTGGTTCCCGACCCTATCAGAACCAATGTCTCCTTTTGACAACAAACTTTTTTGTGTGTGTGTGAGGAAGATCAGCCCTGTGCTAATATCTGCCAATCCTCCTCTTTTTTTGCTGAGAAAGACTGGCCCTGTGCTAACCTCCGTGCCCATCTTCCTCCACTTTATATGGGACGCCACCACAGCATGGCTTGCCAAGCGGTGCGTCGGTGCGCACCTGGGATCCGAACCGGTGAACCCCTGGCCCCCGCAGTGCAGTGAGCGCACTTAACCTCTTTCCCCACCAGGCAGGCCCCACAAACTTTTTTTTTTAAAGAATTGTTTTATTTATTTATTTATTTTTATTTATTAATTTTTTGTGAGGAAGATCAGCCCTGAGCTAATATCCATGCCAATCCCCGTCTTTTTGCTGAGGCAGACTGGACCTAGGCTAACATCTGTGCCCATCTTCCTCCACTTTATGTGGGACACCGCCACAGCATGGCCTGACAAGTGGTGCCTCGGTGTGCGCCCGGGATCCGAACCCTGGGTCGCCAGCAGTGGAGCACGCGCACTAACCACTAAGCCATGGAGCTGGCCCCAGATAAGAAACTTTTTGTAATGCTTGTTTTCTATTCTGACATGAAAATCATAGATAATAAACCCTACTCACATAATTAAAAAGTAGAAAAGTATTTCATTATTTAATAATTAAAGGAGTAATTTATAATAAAATATATATTTCAACATGTGAGTGGACATGAGTACACTACAACACATAAGATTATCAGGCACTGGTACCTATCCTTAATAAAATCACCATGAATGTGACACATAAAAATGCAGATTGAGGGGCCAGCCCAGTTGGCAGAGTGGTAAGTCTACGAGCTCCACTTTGGCGGCCTGGGGTTCGCAGGTTCTGATCCCAGGCACAGACCTATGCACTGCTCATTAAGCCATGCTGTGGCGACGTCCCATATATAAAATAGAGGAAGAAGAGCACAGATGTTAGCTCAGAGCCAATCTTCCTCAGCAAAAAGAGGAGGATTGGCAACAGATGTTAGCTCATGGCCAATCTCCCTTACCAAAAAAAAAAAAAAAAAATGCAGATTGATTCAAGAGTGCTGCATTGGCAACTCATTGACCATGAGCAATGTTTGCTTCAGTGACCTGATTTTCAAAAATGTTGAGCAGTTCTTGGCAGAGTTCTGGGTAAGACAATCCCACCTTGATTTATAAGATCATTTTATTACTAGAAAAATCAATGTAAATCAAAAGCATGCAAAAATACTTGGTGTTTATATATAAAACAAATGTCAAAAAGATGAGACAAATTCATTGAATGGATTGAAATACATCAATGTTAAAAATCCATGAGTTCATAATAATATTAAGAGAAAACCCAAAAACTTCATTGGCCATCTTTGGAGGTTGCTAGGTCACCAGCTCATTATTTTCAAAACTAGTAAATAAATGAGAAAGAATCAAGCATTTATCTTGCCTCCTGTAAAAACTGTTTCAGAATAACCAAATAATGGATGAAGGAAAAGTCTTATTTATAGAATTCTAATTAATAAATGCAGAAGGAATAATAGAATTAGGATACCAAAATTTGTGACACCTGATGAAATAATGGATCTAGCCACAATCATCAAGCGCTGCCAAAAACATTAAAGGCTGATGGAGAACTTGATAATGGATATCAGACTAACAACACCTGAACCGAGTGATCACTCTTTATTTTTTTAAATATTCCGTTTTTTTAAAAATAATTTTATTTATTTATTTTTCCCCCCAAAGACCCAGTAAATAGTTGTATGTCATAGCCGCACATCCTTCTAGTTGCTGTATGTGGGGCGCGGCCTCAGCATGGCTGGAGAAGCGGTGCGTCGGTGCGCACCCAGGATCCGAACCCAGGCCGCCAGCAGTGGAGCGCAAGCACTTAACAGCTAAGCCATGGGGCCGGCCCTGATCACTCTTCTTTATATCCCAGAGATACCAGCCTTTATGTGTTCCCTACTTGGTTGCAGTGGGAAGGACACAGCACCACCAGAAAGCATTCTTGCCCTACTCCCATCTCCAAAATAACTAAATCTGATCAAGCTTCTAGATCTAACTACCTGTCTACAGAAAACACAGGAGACAGAGGAATGTGTTAAACAGTTAGATGCAATAAGCCCAGTTCAGAAAATGGAGAATTTTACAAGACAATTGACCTTGTTTCTTCAATAAATAACAGGGAAATAAAAGGAAGGGGACTTGGGAGACAAAACCACCAAAGAGGTGGATTTTGTTTGGATCCTAAGCCAAAGCTACTGAATAGTTTTAAAAAACAAAAAACTTTTATAAGACAATTAGATAAATTTGAACATTGACTGAATGTTGAGTGACATTGGAGAATTGTTGATTTGAGGGGATGTGATAATGGTATTGTCATTAATAAAAAATAAAAAAGGAGTCCTTGAGAATTTATTGACTGGAGTGAAGATAATCTAGGATTGCCTTGAAAATAAGCCTGTGCATAGTGGAAGGTATAGACGATATAAAAATGACTATTTGTTTAATTGTTGAATCTGGGTGATAGGTGCATGGTAATATACTGTACTATTTTCTCCACAAAACACTTTGAACACATGATAGTTGCAGGACAGAAGACACATTTTATATGCCTTTTGTATCCCACAAAGAAATTAAGGTCTGTGTATGTGATGGGTCATGAAAGAAAGAAAACAACTGAAGTCAAACACCATTGGATGGCGTCTTCTATCACTATCATAGTCTTTCAATTCCCTCCAATCAACTACCTCCTCATTAAGCTACCTCCCTCCATTTTTGACATCTCTTTCAGGAAAGTGATATGTATAAATGTCTGTGCCCTTGTTTTCTAACTTTATCCAAATGTAAAGTTTCTTCCCAGTAGGACAGTATCACAAAACATTAGAAAGCTAGATATTTACATCCCAGGAATGTGATGAGGATAAGAATTATTGTTCACTGAATACACAGCTAGCAAAAAAAAAAAAGCATATAATAAAGAATAAGAATAAAAAATAAGAATTTTTGAAAGGTACTCAAATACATCTCAATTTTATTAAGATCATCTATACACACATTATTTGCTACTGAAAATTGAAAAAGCACCAAAAATTATTACAATTCAAAATTTGAAAACTAGAAAATCTAGTTAACGCACCCTGCTCTAATCATGCTCTAGCCAAACCACCCAATGTTTTCTCTACATTCTTTCCACACAAGTTACTTTGCTTCAAATTCTTGATATTGGGTTTCATCTTACTGACTTCACGCTTCTAAAACAGACAATATTTGAGACGTATTAGTGCTTCTTTGGGTCAAATCACGAAGTTAAAGTATATCAAAGTCATTCAAATGCAAACTACATAGATTCCTTATAAGTTACTGGTATCAAGGTAGAAAAGAGATGCAAGAAAAAAAGACATCACAGAATTTATATCACAGGTTATCAAAATACTGGTATACAGTCCATCCGAGCATAGAGTAGCTTTCCCAAGATGTTGCATAATAATCCTAAAATTACTAGCAAGAATAAGGTTTATGGCTCAGTTGGCTCTGTGTCATAATTATTCTCCGTGCTAGTATTCTCAGAGAGATCTCTATGATACAGGCAATAATGACAGCTACATCTAAATCTTTGAATTCTTGATTCGACCTGAAAAAAAAAAAATGAAATGGATTAATTGGGTTAATAGTTAAAAATAATGAAATAGAGTAATTGTACCTGAAAGAGATGTAAGAGCTCTTAAATCTAATGTTGGTTATTAGAATAGCCTTTGGAATATGGAACACTAAAAAAAGGTAAAAAGCAAAACAACTTTTTTCGGGAAAAAAAGGAGGCAGGATTGAAATGTATGGGTACCAAAGAATGCCAGATTATGGGTCATTTTGTAATGGTAACAGCTGCTGATTGTCAATCAATAAAAATATATTCTAGTGTCAGTTCTCTGAATGCCTTAAATGTGAGGAACTCATTCTACTGCTGGACGTTCTACTCAGGTGTTTGCCCTCTTGCTACACAGTATTGTCATAAGAACCATGTTTGGGATAGTGCATGAATAAAAGTTACAAACATAACACCACCAATGACCCTTAAGTTAACTATAGACTTTAGGTGATAATGTGTCAATAGAGGTCCATCAACTGTAACAATGTAGCACTCTGGTGTGGGATGTTGACTCTGGAGGAGGCTGTTGAGTATGTGGGGTCAGGGGGATATGGCAACTCGCTGTACTTTCTGCTCAGTTTTGCTGAGAACCTAGAACTGCTCTAAAAAAATAGACCAAAAAAAGTGCAAACAGAACTCATTTCTCCAGAGTTCCTAGAGATTCAGAAAGTCTAAGCCAATTCCCTTTTCCTCCTCTCCAAAAGCAAAAAAAGGAAACCCACCCACAGGTATAGTAAGAAAATTTCTGTTTACCTCAATTTCCTTCTGTCGTCGTTCTCTTTGAAGCTTCATGGGAAGCAAAAAATATATATTTATTGAAAACTATCAAGAAAAAATTGGATTACTAATGTTACACATCTACCATAAGAGAGAGAAGTTGGAGAATTTTAAAAACGTGTTATTGACATCCTGCACTCATGAGTACAGTTGCTCATCACTCTTTACATCTTAATTTACGTGAGTGGCGCCCTCCCCCGCCTGGAGTTGAGCTGTGCTGTCTGCTCAGATCACAAACTCACCACAGGAAGTTGGCTGGAGTAGCGGTATTTAATAATTTGTATCATCCTTTGCATCCTTTCTTTCCGGGCAGTTAACAATGTCCTTACTCCCCTCCTCCTGTAGGGTATGCTATCACTTAACCCCTGGAATTTCTTTTCTCTGTCAGGCTGTTGGGGTGGGCCTTCTGGTAGAAGAGGAGGGAATTTGGTACTAGGGCTGAGAGTCAAGTTACTAAGGTTCTTTATTAACGCTTCTGAAATAGGTGGTGAGGCAGCTGAAAGAAAAGAGAAAGTTAAGATCCATTAGGGTGAATTGCATCATCCAGAAGTCACTTATCTCACCTTCAAGCAAAGCGCGCTGTTAAGCAAATGAACAATGGACAATGGGAGGTTCCTCAGGGTGGAAGATGACATATACCATGTGCATTACCTACTGTGCTCGTCTAGCACGCTGCACACCTTGGGAGCCTACATTGAGAACGTATGCTTAAGAATCCACTATGGGGCCAGCCCTGGTGGTCTAGCGGCTAAGACTTTGGGCTTTGGCTCAGGTTTGTTTCCCGGTCAGGGAAGCACACTACCTGTCTGTCAGTTGTTATACAGCAGTGGCTCATATAAAGAACTAAAAACTGGCAACTAGGATACACAACCATGCACTGAAGCTTTAAATTAAAAAAAAAAAAAAAAAGAATCCACAATGATGGGAAATATTTCATTTAAAAATTTTTTTTCTCTTCTTCCTGTTATTGGTAGTTCCGAACATTAGATTTTTTTTTTCCATGGAGTCAAAAGGTACCTAAGTATATGATTCCAAGTGGAAAATTATGGGACAAAAATCAGGTATTGGCAGTTTTTCTATTTTCATTTGCGTGAATTTTTAACATAAATGCGGGGACGTAAAGCATTAATGCAAATTAAAATGTTTCAGTGAAAAAGTTTCAGCAGTTCAACTTTACAAATAATTATAAATAAACCTGTTAAACTTTTCTGGGGAAAAAAAAAAACATGCCTATGAAACAAAGAAACCCCAGATACAAGAGTCTTTCCCAAAATCCTCATTCTTAAGCAGAACTAGAAAGTCGAAGTGACTGTTATCCTCTAGTTACACTCAGTTTTTTTATGGTATTTGATCTTTTCACTCAAACACAATATTTTGGGAAATCAACTACTCACTCTAGCCCCTTCCCCTGGGAACCATGATGTACATCCCATACACACTCGTGTCTCATACAATAAGGCAGTTAACATTATCTCTGTATTTGAAAGGATTAAATATTGAGTCAGGATCCATTCAACTTCCAGAGGCTTGTTCACATGGAAATAAAGATCCTTGGTTGTAGAATTGTCAGTCACTAAGGTAGATTCAAGGAAAAGGAAAGACTGGGTATATTACACAGACATCTCTTAATTTTTCCCCGTTGTATATATGGATCAGGGTTCTTCCCTCAAGATGCAAGGGAGGCAATCTGGACCTGGCGTGGGGGGTGGGCGGCGGGATAGAGGAGTCAGTGAACATCCGACCCAGCTTCCTAGCAGCCCAGTGGGTAGTTGGGGGTGTTGACTCCAGGCCATCTACCACCGCTACCCTACACCAGCCAGCTGCGCCCTTACTCAGGGTAATAAGGTTTCAAACCGAGTGGGTCTCCGTGGCCAAGCCTGGCATTGGGTGCGGCTCCGAGAAGACATGATCTCCGCCACAGGAAGAACCCAGGAAAGCGGAGACCTAATTAGCAGTATTCCTGGAGCACTGTTTCTAAGAAAGCAACCCTCAATGTACGTCCTACTAATTTACATTATAGAGCACATTCTCTGGCTTTTATAAATCCGCCCCTTCCTTCAATTTCCTCTGCAAAGCCATTTCCTTGTTTATTAACATTCTTAAAGGGTATATTTAGCTGGAAAGCCAATCCTGAAAGTGTTGGTGAGATTAAGAAAACCTTTAGGTTAAACTGAAGTTTAGGTTTCTTGCATTTTGGCCTTGTACCTTTCCTGACACGTATTGCTGATGGGGAGATACTGATCACACGACACTATGAACCACGTTCTAGGAGAATTGCCATTGCTCTTCCCTAGAAACTAGACTTAGAAGATTTAGGTATTCCTGCGCATAGGAAGCAAACAATGCAGTTCTCAACAGCCCCCCCACCCCTCCCACCTTTTTTTTTTCCCTCTTGTATTTTTTCACTGGAGGAATCTACACTGCCTGGCCCTCCTCTGCTTGGAAGAGGGTTACTTAACTGCATTCCTGTTTAAAAGACTGAAGTCAATAAAGAAAGGAGAGCAGCTTCTTCGCTTCCCGAACCACCAGTAACCAAGAAGGGCACTAGCTGGCTTACCCGAATCTTCCTGGGAATTTTCTTCATTGGGCATCTGAGAGGACTCCAGGGTCCAGCTTGGGTTAAGCTTTGATGAGTCCATTGGAAGTTTAGTCACAGCTTGAAGCTCTTCCTAGATCTTTGGGTTGAGCGGAAGAGGATGCTCAAGACTCAAATTGTTACAAAGCAGCCTGCCAAGAACTATATAGCCCAGAAAGAGCGAGAAAAACCCAACTCCAACAAACTGGTGAGAGAAAGAACTAACCTAAAAGTTTAGGTCCTGTTTCCTCTTAAAAACTACAGATAAGCCAATCAGCCAGCCTATTTTGATGTAAATGACTAATGATTAAAGGGGTAAGGTGAGTGGGCTAGTCCTATAGTGGAGTAATAGGATAATTTTTCATCTGCTCTGCATTAAAATAATCCTGCCCTCTGTCAAGTCGGCTGAAAAATTTATGAAGAGCTTCTGTGGTTGTATCTCCCTAAAGTTGCCTTAAAAATCAGTTTTTTTCAAACTCTGCCTCTGAAGATGGCTACTGGTTTGTGAACTGGGCTTGCAGTGTTCTTGGGCAGAGAGGTTTTCCCCCAACTGCAGATTAAGTTACAATTAAATTAAATGAGAAAGTTCTTGAAGTTTTCCTTGCCTGACTCATCTTAAACCTTGGGATGCTAGTAAGGGAAAGTAGAGGAGAAATAAAGCATCTATTATAAACAGTTTAATGGCGTAATATTTTATGGATGTGTATTTTGGATCTGTAATTTTATAATTGTTTTATAGACTATAAATGTAATTGCATTTAACATTTGTGAGCAACTGAAATTAACTAAATTTATAAATTGCCACCTCCTCCCCTCCCCCCAAAAACCACTTGTGTTGAATTCTGGCAAAAAGCACCAACATTAACTGCTGATTTTCTGCAGGAGGTGGGAGAACAAGTCCCCAGGTGCCCCCCTCTTCTCTTTTTCCCATCTCCTCTTCAATTAGCAGCTCCCCCTCCATTCCCCCTTTAGCTGGAAACTGTGAGAAAATACTGAAAAGCAATCTTGTTTGTTTTTAGTGAAAAGCAAAAGATGGAGTTAGGATCAAGAAATATTTTTGTAGGGGATGAGGAGCCAGATGTGTATGTCATGTCACAATACTTGATTCAGGTGATTCTCAAAAGTGTGGCCTCCAGATAGGCAGATCAGGAGCACCTGGTAACTTGTTAGACGTGGTTGGAGATTACGGAGCTCCACCTCAGACCTACTGAATCAAAGACTGCGGCCCCGCAATCGTCGTTTTAACAAGATTCCTGGGTGATTCTGATGTGCGCTCAAGTTTAAGAAGCAGTGCTTTATGGCACTCTCAACTTTCTACTCCTGTTGCTCTCTCTCAGCTGTTCTCCCTTTTGCCCTGGCTACCTCTCCTACAGCAGTCTCTGAGAATTCCACCGGAGAAGTGAGGGCAAAAACTGGATTGCAGGAGGTTTAAGATCAAGAGGTGATGAGATAGTAAAAAGAGCTGACATAGAATCTCGCTGGAGAAATCCAGGTTTAAGAAAAAGGTGAGAGGACCACAGCTAGAGGAAGATGTGGGATGTGGGTGATGGAGTTTCAGTTTTGCTTAAACATGACAGAAGCTGAGCCAAAAGCAACAGAAGGTAAAAATACTGGGAGACGGGACAGGTGAGAAAACAGAACCCCTAAATATGCTTAGAAAGATCAGATTTAAAAAATCTTAAAAAATTATAACACCTTTCTAGTTAACATGTTTTCTCTTTATAGTATGAAAGATGAGATAAAAAGCCAAACAAACTGAATGAAGCAACCTGAAAAAAAAAGACTATAAAAGAACATGTTGAGAAAACTATCACTAATTTCTCCAGAGATTTAAAAAAAAATGACATGATATTTTTTAAACAAACAGGATGCTCCTTTTTTTCCCCTTTATTGTGAAGTTTCTGTTGTACATTATTCTTTGTCAGTCACCATATAAATAACATGCTCTTTTTAAAAAAGGAAAACTCAGAGGGCAAAGAAAAAGTACTTGGAAATTAGAAGTTTGATATTAGAAATAAAAAAAGAAGGATTTGAAGATAAAATGAAAGATATTCTGAGTGAAGCAAAACAACAGATGTAAAATAGTAGAGAAAATATAAGAAAATGAGAATCTAAAATCAGAAAATATAATGGATTCAGATTCCTCATCAACAACACTGGATGCTAGAAGATAATAGAGAAACACCTTTCAAATTCTGAAGGAAAATGATTTCCAACCTAGAATTCTATATTCAGCCAAACTGTTGAGCAAATGTGAAACATTTCCAGACATTTGATTTCTCGAAAATGTCACCACCTACGTAGATTCCTTTGTCTTGTGGGAAATTAACTTGATATAAGAACACTACCAGGTAAGCTAAATCAAAAGTCATGAAACAGAAAGGCTCATAGACCATATTAAAAAGCTCACATCACTTAGTTTTTTAAGTCAACTTAAAACGCACAGCAAAAAGCCAGGCAAAATGAATGGAGTAGGCTAACAGATTTAGAATGTTAAAAACAAGACAACAGGCACAAGATGGAGTCGCTCATGCTAAGCCCCCCCTCACCAAACTGAGACTTAGTTACAGTTTTGGCTCTCCCAGAAATGAACTCTTAAACCAGTCAATCAGAAATTGCCTGATCAGCATTAGTTAGGTAATCTGCCTGATGGATCTCTGCCATCCCCTAAAGGAAAGTAACCTTACAATAAACAATCTGCCATTTTGCCTAGTACAACTTCCTTATTCCTGATCCTTCTGCCTATAAAGTCTCTTTCCTTGTATAGCTCTTCAGAGTTCCTTTCTATCTGCTCAATTGGATGCTGCCCAATTCATGAATAGTTAAATAAAGCCAATAAGATCTTTTAAATGGATTGTGTTGAATTTTGTTTCTTTAAGAAGAATAGGAGGGGCTGGCCCAGTGGTGTACTGGTTAAGTGCGCGCACTCTGCTGCTGGTGGCCCAGGTTCAGATCCCGGGCACGCACTGACACGCTGCTTGTCAGGCCATGTTGCGGCGGCGTCCCATATAAAGTAGAGGAAGGTGGGCACAGATGTTAGCCCAGGGCCAATCTTCCTCAGCAAAAAAAAGAGGGAGATTGGCAACGGATGTTAGCTCAGGGCTAATCTTCCTCAAAAAAAAAAAAAGGAAAGAAAAAGAAAAAAGATGTTCCCATTGCTCTTTTTTTTTTTTTTTTGAGGAAGATCAGCCCTGAGCTAACATCCATGCTAATCCTCCTCTTTTTGCTAAGACCAGCCCTGAGCTAACATCTATTGCCAATCTTCCTCCTTTTTCTCCCCAAAGCCCCAGTAGATAGTTGTATGTCATAGCTGCACATCCTTCTAGTTGCTGTATGTGGGACGCGGCCTCAGCATGGCCAGAGAAGCAGTGCCTCGGTGCGCGCCAGAGATCCGAACCCGGGCCCCCAGTAGCGGAGCGCAAGCACTTAACCGCTAAGCCACGGGGCCGTCCCCAATCAATTTATATTCTTATTTCACTTCCCACTATGAAACAAATTCCAGATAGACTAAACAGCTAGTTTTTTTAAAAACCCTTAGAAAAACAGTAAGAAATAGAACTGAATATTTTTTACACTTAGGGGGCTAGGAGAGGTGGGGGCCTTAGAGAGTATGGAAGGTTTGAGGAGAGGAGACAGTTTAAAATGTGGAGGGGCCAGCCAGTGGTGCAAGCGGTTAAGTGCAAGAGCCCCCATGCGGCAGCCCGGGGTTTGCTGGTTTGGATCCCGGGCGCACACCGATGCACCGCTTCTCCGGCCACGCTGAGGCCACGTCCCACATACAGAAACTAGAAGGATGTGCAACTATGACATACAACTATCTACTGGGGCTTTGGGGGGGAAAAAAAAAAAGGAGGAGGATTGGCAATAGATGTTAGCTCAGAGCCGGTCTTCCTCAGCAAAAAGAGGAGGATTAGCATGGATGTTAGCTCAGGGCTGATCTTCCTCACAAAAAAAACTAAGTAAATTTTATTTTTTATTTTTTCCCTAAAGCCCCAGTAGATAGTTGTACATCCTTCTAGTTGCTGTATCTGGGACACGGCCTCAGCGTGGCCAGAGAAGCGGTGTGTCAGTGTGCGCCCGGGATCCGAACCCCAAGGTGTGTCAGTGCGCGCCTGGGATCCGAACCCCGAGGTGTGTCAGTGCGCGCCCGGGATCCGAACCCGGGGCGGCCAGTAGCGGAGCAAGGGCACTTAACTGCTAAGCCACGGGGCCGGCCCAAAACTGAGTAAATTTTAAAGATCTTATTGGCTTTATTCAACAATTCATGAATTGGGCAGCATCCACCCAGCGGACAGAAAGGAGCTCTGAGGCGCTTTACAGAGTGAAAGACTTTTATAGGCAGAAAGGCAGGAAAAGGAAGTTTTAGTAGATGAAAAACCAGCTGGTTATTGCAAGGTCACTTTCCTTTAGGGGATGGCAGGGGTCTATCAGGCAGATTAGTACCTAACTAGTACTGAGCAGGAGATTCCAGATTGACTGGTTTAAGATTGCATTGTAACTAAGTCCAGAGATCTAAGGAATGCGCCTTGGTTTTGCATCAACTTTTTCCCCTCAAGAAATGTCAGGGATGGGAGAAAGGAACGAAATAAAAGGAAGTTTAAAACTTCGGTTGATGGGCCGGCGCCATGGCTTAGCGGTTAAGTGCGGCGCTCCGCTGCTGGCGGCCCGGGGTTTGGATCCCGGGCGCGCACCGACGCACCGCTTCTCCGGCCATGCTGAGGCCGCAGCCCACATACAGCAACTAGAAGGATGTGGAGCTATGACATACAACTATCTACTGGGGCTTTGGGGGGAAAAATAAATAAATAAAATTATAAAAAAAAAACAAAAAAAACTTCAGTTGAGGGCCGGCCCCATGCCTTAGGAGTTGGGTGTGCGTGTTCTGCTGCTGGCGCCCGGGTTAGGAGCCCGGGTGCACGCCGAGGCACCGCTTGTCTGGCCATGCTGAGGCCGCGTCCCACATACAGCAACTAGAAGGATGTGCAGCTATGACGTACAACTATCTACTG